GAGAACAGCCAGGTCTCTGGTTCCAGGACCTCCACCTGCTCCAGGCTGCTCCCCACTTGTTGACTTCCTGAGCTGGAGTGGGGGCTCAGAGGCAGCCTGAGCGAACGGGGGGTCTTGCGCTGTGCTGTGTAAATGTGTGAAGAAGCTGTGTCCACACACAGCCCCTCATCAGTGGGGTCTGTGCCTGCCCCACCACCTCTAGTCAGGGCAGAATATTGCTTGTTTGGCAGGAAAATTCAATAGGAATGTCTTGGTGTGGTGGTTACATGGTGAGTTCTCTCTTCTTGTCCATCCCTAGTCCTGCCTGAGGTCTGCATCCCCTGATGGGAAAGTGGAGGCTCACCGGGTTGGGGGGGGGGTTGCCCAAGCATCCCGTCAGCGTGGGCCTCACTGTCCAGAGGCCCCTCCCCAGCCCGCCTCACTCCCCGGCTGGCACAACCCCAGCACCTACCCTGAGCCCACATCCCAGGCTCATGAGGGTAGAGGTGGGTCCCCCTGCCTCTGACCCAGGATTCTAGGTGAACTTTAGGCTGGCAGTGGAGTCCTGAAATGCTAATGAAGTGGATAGGAAGCTGTCAGTGTCACAGGGTGAGCAGAGCCCCCAGATGGCCCAGAGCCTGAAACCCATGCTAGAAGGCTGGAGCAGGAAAGGCCCAGCTCCCTGCCTAGAGGTGGGGCTGGCAAGGGAGCCCCTCCAGGCTGTGACTCACCCTCTTACCCAGCCTGTGCTTGTCCCTGAGCCTGGCTGTGGGCCTCTGAAGACACACACCACCCCCAGCCGGCGGGTCCACTGGTGTTTTCCAGCACTCACCCGTGGAGGCCCCAGGAGGAGGAAGGCCGGCGTGAGTTCTTGCCACATGCGAAGCATAGCCACCCTGCTACCCCAGAAGACCCCCACCTAGGCTGGGCTCTGAGTCTGGGGGCTCTCAGCAGGAGCCTCTTCCTATGAGAGCTGAGGGGAGCTCTTGGGGGGAGCTGTGAGCCAGATATTGGGGGTGTCTGGAAGGAGCAGTCCCCACCCCCACAGGGAAATAGGACCAGCCTGTGGCCTTGGAGCTGCCCCAGCTCCAGGAGGGATGTGGCGATGTGTGGGCTAAGTTCTCATCCTGGAGAGATTCCTTATTCCCAGTCTGGTTGGACAGGTTGAGGCTGACACACCTGGGAGAATCCCTAGTGCGGGGAGAGAGCCTCAGTTTGGCGGCAATGTGGGCCTCGCTGCAGGGTGTGTCGGTGCCCTGGGTGGGTGAAGGGAGGCAGCCTTCCTTAGTGCAGCCTCAGAGGTGGCCCCTCAGTCCCCAAGCAGGAGGCTCCAGGGACCGGGAGGCGACAGCAGCCCCCTAGCTGATTCCCAGCTTCCCAGCTGGAAAGGCTGTTAGAGAATCCCAGGAATGCGCCTTGAGCGCAGAAAGAAAATTCCCAAAATAACTTCTATAAATACTTGAGGGGAGGGGTGGGGAGGGAGCTCTCAGCCTGGGCTGCAGCTGGCCTAGCACTGCAGGCTGCTTCCCAGGGCAGCCCTCCCCACTGAAGAAGAAAAAGCTAGGACCCTCCTGCTACCCCTCTCCTCAGGGGGACAGTGTCCAGCACAGATTTAGTGAGATGGTATGCAGTGGTAATTCAGAAAAAGGCAGGCAGGACCCTTCTGCCCCTTCATCCCCATCCTAGGCTGCAGCCCCTGACCCCACCTGTACTTCTGCAGAGAACCTGGGTTCCTAACCGGGAGGGGTTCCCCTCAGGGTCTCCATACAAACCAGAGACCAGACCCCAGCGAGTGTGAGGCCCCTCAGGCTGCCTGCCTTTGTGGCAGGTCACTCAGTACATGGAAACACCCCTGCTGTGCCTGATTGTGCATCTAGGAACCCCCTACCCTGCTATCCTGTGGGGACTAGTGAAGCAGGCAGGAGCTAGGGTCCCTCAGTCTAGGAGGAATGGGGCAGGGATGGCGTTGGAGAACCCTCAGTAATGAAGCACAATCTCAAGGTGCTGGTGTGGGCAGAAGGTGCAGTCCACCAGGGAAGGCTTCCTGGGGCAGCAGGGTACCAGGCAGGTGAGAGGGGGCCAGAGGCTCACTTCTCCCTGAGCTCCAGGAAGGGAGGGAACAGGGAGTGGATGATGTCGGGAATTTCTGGGGGCTTTCCCCATAGCCCCGCTCCTTCCTGAGCAGCTGTAGTCACCCCGGCCCCATTACAGCCGCCATGCTTCATAAGCAACTTGCACTTCGTTCTAATCCCCGTGGGACTGCACGGCTGTGGCGTCTCCCAGGTCAGGTGTCAGAAGCTGAGAGTCACTCAGTGGGTCTGGTCTCCTCTCTCTACATGGGTGCAGAGTAGGGAGGGGTCAGCATGGACTTTGAGATACAGGTTCTGTGTTCCCACCATCTCCTTGGGGCAGCTGGGGAGCCGCAGGCCAGGGGCAGAGCAGGTGAGACGGTGCATCTTCCTGGGGCGGGGCCCCACCCAGTTGTCAGGCAACAAACAGCTCCGAGTTGCTACCAAACATGAACTGGATGGGCTGGTGTCTCGGGCAGGTGGCAGCAGATCCTGTTACAGGCCCTGGGCCTCCAGGCCCCAGCCTGACCCCGGTGTCTCCTTTCAGGCTCTCAGGTCAGCACCCCAGGGTGGGGGGAACGTGATCCAACCCCACCCCAGCCCATACTCTTCCCCCAGAGGAAGCCTTGCCCTCCAGCGAAATCAGCTCTTCTGCCCACTTCTCCCCAACCCAGGACCCTCTGCTCATCCTGGGGTCGCCTCCACGTGCTGTCTGCCCACCATGCGTCCCGCTGCACAACTGCAAATTCATCCTTGCAGAATCCTCATGCTAACTTACAAGGAAGGGCTGTTCTATTCCCCAGTTTACAGATAAGGAACTAGCAGCTCAGAGAAAATAGGCCACTTTCTGGTGTCACGGCCCTGTCAGTGGCAGAGCTGGGATTCTAACCTGGGCCGGTCTTCCTCTCCCCACAACACGCAGAGGAGCCTGCCTCAAACCTACTAAACAGAGGAAGACGAAGACAGAGAGACAGACAGACAGAGACAGACAGACAGACACACACACACACACACACACACACACACAAATCTGGCACACACACACACACACACACACAAAATCTGGCTCCTCCCCACACACCTCCGTATCTCTTGAGATAGGGATTTTCAAACTCATTGAAAAGAGTAGCCCTCTTTCCAAACAAGATCTCAGGTAGAAGCTCACTAGAGCCAAAGTGGTATGTAAAAGCCACTGCAGCCCCGCCCCCGCCCTGGGCGGCCTTCCCATCTGTCCTGTTGCTCCGCCATGGGCAGCACTAAGGGCCCAAACCTTCCATTTTTGGTGCTTAATTTTGGCGTCTGGCGGCTTGTTGTCTCGCCTTCTTACCCTCCTCCCTGCGGGCCCTGTTCCATCATGAATTGCTCAGGGTCCAGCTCCCAGGCCATGCGGGCAGAGCAACTTGGCCTGGAGCCCTGCTGGCCAGACTGGGCACTGACTGCCCTCTGGTCCTGAGCAGCCCTGAGTCAGCACTGCTCCCATCTGGCCAGAGCCAGGGACCCTGCCTGAGGCTCCACCCAGCCCCAGCTTCTCCTGTTCTCCCCATCCATCCCTGTGGTTCTCTGGAGACAGCTTCACCCTGGGATGAAGAGCTCCCCTTCCTTTCTTGATTCCTGGCCACCCGAGGGCCATCCAGCGCCTCCAGAGAAGGGGGGGGGGCCTTTCCTAGGGCTTCCTGAGTGCCATCTCTCCCTCTTGCCTAATTGGTCGTGTTCCAGGCCCTCAGAGGACTATGAAGTCAGGCGTATGCATCTTCCCTGGTGGGGTCTCCATAGCAACAAAAGGCCTAGCTCTGCGGAGTGCGGTGAGGAGGAAAATGTTCCAGCTAAAAATGTACACGGTCGTCAGTGGGTGGGCACCCAAGGCTCCAGGCACATAGACGGCAGCTCCCCACCCCAATCTTGGCCCCTGCCTGTCCAGGAAGTTGGTGATGTTCAGACTTTACCTCGTATCTTTGAGCAAGAGGATGGCCCCCTGTGCTGCCATCCTGTGCCACCTTTGAGGGCTGGAACACAGATGCAACAGTGCAAAGCAGCCTTTCTAGGACTGGAGGCCAAAAGGGGGTCCTCGCCTCTCCCTCTGATCACCACCCTGTCCCCCTGCCTCCCCACACCCTTCCCAGGGTGGGTGGATGAGGATGTAGAGAGGATAGAATGCCAGTTTCACTTCCCACCCTTTTTGTGACAATTCCTGTCACTTCCTCTGTCTCTCTGGTTGTTGGAGCCAAACATCAGGGCCAAGCTTCCTGGGCAGCCCTGACCCCTCCCAGGGGCCCCCCTTTCGCCCAGCATCCACCCCTGGTCCCTGGCCATCTCACTCTCCTCCTGCGATTCTGACCTGCCTGGCCAGGCTGCGGTGAGCTTTAGGTCCCAGGAAGCCCAGCCACTGATGCGGGCACCAGAGCTGTCCATCCAGCCCTCACAAGCTTGCGGTCCTCCCTCCGTTTGGAGAGTCCCAAGCCGGTAGCATCCGCTCTTCAGTCCCACTCGTCGCGGGGGAGGACAGTGCCACAGTGCAGCACAAGGCCATGGGGTGACAGGCCCGTCAACTTGAGCTCATGCATGCCAGACACCGTTCAGAGGCTTTGCACATACTGACTCACGTGAACTTAACCCTAGAGGTGGGCATGGCAGTCTTTGCCATTTGCAGCTGAGGAAAGTGAGGGCCAGAGACCGGTGACCTGCCCAGGTGTTAATGGAGCGACCCAAAGCCAGGTCTGCTGACTGGAAGGCTCATCCCTTGGGGCCAGAGCTCCCCCAGTGGGTGACCCAGGATGCTGGGCTAGAAGCAAGGCTGGGACGGACACAGGTGGGATTTGCATAGGTCAAGGGCACGGTCACTTGTTCCTTCCAAAGCTTGAGATGTAGGACCCTCTCTGGCCTGTTTCCCCAATGGCTAGGATGCCCCTGTCCCCAGACAACCCTCACTCACCCCACCCTGTGTTTGCTCCCCAGGGTCTGATGCTGAGTCGGCTGGGCCATAAGAGTCTGGCCCAGAAGGTGCTGCGGGACGCCGTGGAGAGGCAGAGCACCTGCCATGAGGCGTGGCAGGGCCTGGGCGAGGTGCTGCAGGCCGAGGGCCAGAGCGAGGCCGCTGTCGACTGTTTCCTCACTGCCCTCGAGCTGGAGGCCAGCAGCCCAGTGCTGCCCTTCTCCATCATCCCCAGAGAGCTCTAATCCTGCTCGTCAGTGGCTGGGAGGGAGGGAGGGAGCTGCCCAGCGTGGGTGGACAGGCAGGCAGCAAGTAGCGTGGGTCTGGGGAGGTGCAGGGCCTCAGGGAAATACATCTCTAGGGAACACTTCTACAGGCTGCAGCCCTAGTTCTCGCCTCCCCCACCCCGCCCCTGCTTCCCTCCAGGGCCAGCTGGGTCTAGGAGCTGCTCAGCTGGAGCTGGGTGGACCAGGTTTGCATCAAAAACAAATCCCTTGTTCCTTGGGACTCAGACAAGCATCATGGTATTTGTGAGCAAGGAAGTAGCTGGGAGGCCACGTGGCCTCCCCAGTGTATCTGTGCCTCATCTAAATGTGCAGTAAGGCTCTGAGCCCCTCTCGACCCCCACCCCTCCACCTAGAAGCCCCTGTACTGTACCTGTCACTCTCCCTCAACATCCCAGACCCTAGATTTCCTGGCTTTGCACAAGCTTTAGTCTAGAACCTCAGCTCTCTGCTCTCCCATGAACGGCCCTTGGGCAGGGCCAAGAGGGTTCTCCTGGGTTCCTGCCTCAGCCCCTCAGGAGACAGTCTGCCTGAACCCTAAGTAACTTAGAGTCATGGTGACTGGACTTGTTCCCCAAGAGCACTGGTGGGGGAGTCTCACAGCTGTTCTTCACCCCCTGCCCCAGGCCTCTGTCTTGGGGAGGCCCCGGGCCCTCGTCTCACACCTTACTCTCAGGTCAGGTCCAGGGCAGTCCTGGCTTGAAGAATCTGCTGGCAAGTGGGAAGAGAGGGTAGACCTCTGGGTCCTTTCCCAGGTTTGGGGCCACATGGCCTCCCAGCTAGCATTGCCCCTCTTTGTGTGTTGAGGCCAGTTGGGCCCCACTCTGGTCTTCCCCTCTGTTGCCAAGTGCCTTTGGGGCCTCTGGTGTCTGGCCAGGGGCACTGAGCTCAGCCCTAAGCTTTCAGTTCTGCCCACCCGCATCTCCCTGGAGACGTGCCCCACCCAGCAGCCTCCTGCGGCCCTAGGCCTTAGCCCCCAGGACTCAGGATCCAAGCATGGCTGCTGGACCAACCCAGCCTTTCTAATGCTTTGCATCAACACCTCATTCCTAGAAACCTTACTTTTCTGGGAAATGGGTACAATGCCGATCCCGCGGGGCGTTATCATGTGGAGATGGGCAGTCTGTAAGAGTGGCCTTCATACATCTCACCACCCACAGCCCGTTTTCACCTCAGGCTTTCTTAGGTTACACAAGCACCGACTACCACTCTGGCAATTGGCTTCCCCCTGTCTGGGGCCAAATGGGGACTGTGATTAGAGACCCAAGGAGGAGCGAAGCCTGGCCCCTCTGGTTGGGCAGGCCTTTGTGTACTGACAGCCTTCTCTGCAGGGGTGCTGGGGGGGTGTCTCCCCTGCTGGCTCCCCTAGCCTTGCTGCACGATGCTTTCAGAATTCTCCCGAGGAAGTCAGCCCCCACGGGCCTATCAGGGAAGTCCTTTATTATCTGCACTCTGGGTTTTAGTTTTAAAGCTCTATTTGGTACATCTCTCATTTGAAGGTGTGGGGAAAGGTCGGGCGAGGGCTGCCCTGGTTTGTCAGAGCCCCATTTGTTCCTCGGAGGGGAGGAGCCATTGGAGTCCCACCTGCTCCCAGCACTGGCTCAGCACTGCACAGCCCCAGTGCCTCCAGCGGGAGCCTGCACCTCCTGGCCTTCCCCTCCTGGCTGAGGGACATTGCAAGGACAGCAGCTCCTTCACCTCCTGGTTAAAGGATCCCTATATGTGTATGTGTGTGTATAAATATATATATAATAGAGATCTATTTTTTCTGGAATTCTATTAGAAAAAACTAAATAAGAAAAAGCAAGTGCTGTTGGTTTACCTTGGGATGGCCAAAGATGTTAGTAGTCAGTCCTTGGTAATAGGAAAAGGCAACAAATGCATTTTGATTTGAAATATTCCATAGAGGAAGCCTCTGAAGGTTTCTCACAGCTCGAAACAAAGGTCTTGAATAAAGAGACCCTTGAAGGGAAAGTAGGTTTGTGTGAAGCAGTGTGTTCATTTATCTAACAGTCACCCCTGGAACAAGCCTTGGCTGAGCCTTGGAGAGGAGGCAGTATTGCTGGAGGAGAGAGGCCTGAGAGGTGGTGAAGGCAGGGGTGGGGGTACACAGAGGGGAGGGGACACCCACTGGGGAGGTTGTGGTGAGGCTTTGGGTGATATGGCTCAAGCCTGGAGGTAGGTGGGAGGAGGCAGAGGGGTCCAGGCAGGGCCAGCTGAAGCGGGCCTCATTCTGGCCTGCCTCCTTCCCCTCAGGTGGGCCTTCAGAGCACTGCCGGAAGAGGCCGGGCCAGACCTGCCATCTGAACAGGAGAGCCCCTCCAAGGGCACTGCCAGTGGCGCATCTTCCCCCAGGGGGAAGATCACATCCAGATCAGCCACCGGCTCTGAGAAGTCCGTACCAACACTCCTAAGTTATGCCGCATAAGTATGCGTGACATACTGGACGTGTTAGAAGACGCGCTTCTTCACGTGCCCCAAGGCTGCACCCACCCACTTGGAAGACGTTTGTCCTGAAGGCTGGCCTGGACAGAGCTGCCCACTCAGCACCCTGGCCTTCTCCACCCCAACCCCCCAGCCCTAGTCTCGGTGACAATTCTGCTGTCCTCGTGAGGAAGGGCCCTTCTTGGGGCTGTTGGGTGCCCCGCTTCTCTTTCACAGTGATACCGTTTTTTAGAAAACACACAGTCTTTACTGATTTAACAATTAATATCAGATTACTGGTCACACACCCTCACGCCCAGCTCACGGCCCCCTGGTGTGAGAATTAAAGGTCCTTTAGGCTATAGTGGTGTCACTTGTCTGCCAGCCTGGGAGAAAGGTCTAGAAAAGCTCATCCTACAGGGAAGAGGACAGGGAATGTGAAGGGAGGGAGGCAGGGGAGGCCTTCTGTTCCTGAGGAGGGCTTTGCCGAGCTGAGCTGACCTCAGGTTGGTCAGATGTTGGAAAGTGAAGCAGTGGTGGAAACACAAGCGTTTCCTGACCTCCAGTTCCCCATCTGCAGATCCCTTATTCACACACAACACAAGCCCTCACTGGAGAGGGAGGGGGCCAGCTCCATGTCCAACGCATTGCACCAGAATGAGGGCTGGGGTTTGGGGATAAGACTCGGGGTTGCACTGTCACCCCCGTGGACCTCCAGCCCACGGCCCTTCTGTATTGATAGTGTTTATCTGCAGGCACAAGTATGAGTGGAATTTCAGCTGCCACCACCACCCAGACTCCTTTCTGGTACCAAAGTACTCATTGTTGCATTCACACCCCTCACCCAAGCACTCAGATGTCATCACCATGCAAGTATTTCTTGGCCTTGATTGGGATGCATCCAGCCGGACAAACCTCCCCCAGCCCGTGCCACCAGCTCTTAATGACAAACCCCAGTCAGCGAGCCTCACACACAAGGACCTGTGAGACCAGCCCACGTGGTGCTGACTCAAAGGATTCTAGAGGCTAGTGAGGTCCTAACACAAAACTATCCTGCTATCCGCTGCCAGAGATTCCTTTGACTCTTCACCAACCTCTTTTAGTTGCAAAAAGCAGAGACCCACTGGAGGTAACTCCAGGAAAGAGACAAGGGGAAGTTCCCTGGACCCCTAGGGCAGGAACTGGGGCCAAAGCAGTCGCCCATCGACTTTGCTGATGGAATGAGCACCCTGCCTGAGCTCAAAGGCCCAGCTCTATCACTGGCTGGCCCTGTGCCCTTGAGCAAGTCACTTAACCTCTCTGTGCCTGTCTCCTTGTCTGTCAAGTAAGAATAATCCTAGAATAGTACCCGCTTTGTGGATTGTAATGATTGCAAAAGACATGGAAAGAGCCTGGAACAGTGCCTGGCCCGTGGTAACCGCACAATAACAAGATACGTGTGTGATGATGTCTGTGCTCCACCTGCTCCATCCTCCTCTCCCTGCCAGCTGAATTTGCTCACTCAGAGAGGCTCCCATAGGACTACGTTCAGCCCACACACACCCTGATCTTCCACCTACAGTAGTGCCACAGCAACCTTCCTCTGCGCATCTTAGTTTAGAGTTTTGGATGAGAGGATCCCCTTGGTCACATTCATTTTTCCACAGGTCACTAAGCAGTCAGCTGTGACCAGAGGGCACAGGCCTCAGGACACAAAATACGGCTGCTTGAGCAGCTAGAGTTCTGGGTGAGCAGTAACCAGGCCCCTTCTGAGGCCCTGCTTCAGTCCATCATCCCCTCAAGTCTTGCCCTCCCGGGCAGTGGGTCCAAGGCAAGTCTCTCTTGAGGAACTCATGCTCCCTTGAGCACCTACCCCTTCCCCTATTATCGTCACCTTATGGTGCACTCATAGGGGCTCTGTCCTGCCTCTTCTCTTGATGACAGTGACAATGCTAATATTCTCCCTGCACTGCGTTATGTATAAGGCTCTTAACTTACTTGTAAATTCTCCTATGTTGCTCGTTTGGTCATCAACATCCTAAGGAAGTGGGTTTTGTCCCCCTGAAAGGTGACGAGATCCTGGTGCCTCCACTCACAGCCTGGGATATGGCAAGGCCTGAGAACCTAGGTCCTCACCCACAGAGCTGGCACCAGCTCACTGGCCGGTGGGAGAGAGGCAGGATGTTCCCATCACGGAGGCAGAATGACTCGTCTGGGGTACATGGACATGTGTATCACCAGGAGTCCTCTGTGCAAGTGTCAGAGGGGCAGACAGAGGTCCAGAAGCCCTCTCTCTCTGCTGGCAGCTGCACCCCACGACTGGAGGCCCATGCTTCCAGTGGAGAAATGACTGATGTTCAATGCTGCCTGCCACCCTCGCCCCTTCTGCAGCTGGAGAGGAGGTTCCTTAAACAGAGATCACTCAAGAAGCTGCAAAGTCCTCCAAGAAGCAAGCAGATTTTAGAGATGCCAGGCAGCCCAGAAACAAGAAGAGGTCACCATGGGAGCTCTGCGCCGGGCCATGACCCCACTGCCCACCAGCCGACTGGACCACAGATTCAGAACCAAGTTCCTCCTCCGTGGACTAGCCCACAGCCTATGAGGTGACCTGGGCACCCGAGGCAGAGGCTCCCCAGACTGGCGGTGACCGTCACTGCTCTCTTACCCTCTTACTCATTCTCCTCCCCTCTTAACTGTCTCTTTGGAATTTGGCAAGAAGTCAGTCATTGTGGACCTCCTTTAAAACATATTTTTTTTCTGAACCATTTGAGAATAGAATGCATAAATCATGCCCTTTACCCCTTAATACTTTAGTGTGTTTTTGCCAAGAACAAAGGTCCTTATCTTGCATAACAGCAGCAAGTAAACAAATGAGGGGGGTTAACCTGACACAGTAATTTTCTGCTCTCCCATCCATATGCCAGCTTGTCAGTACTGTTCTTTGGAGCACTGTCTTCCTCCAGCCCAGGATCACAGATTCCACTTAGTTGTCACATCTGTCTAGACTCCTTTAATCTGGAACCTCTCTTTGCCTTTCACGACACTGACAGTGCTGGTAGCTGCAGACGGTCTGGCCTCTGCCGTCTGAGTGTGAGACAGAGAAAGAGGGAGGCAGTTGGTGGTGGGAGCAGAGGCTGAAAAGCAGCAGAAGCCAAAGTTCAGAGAGAAGAAGGGAGAACAGCTGACTGGAACGGGCAGGAAGACAGAAGCAAAAACGCAGAGGAGGTGAATCTCCGTAGGACAGAGCTCGCCAATCAAAGGAAATGGATGCCCGTTTTCAGGGCAGCAAAAGATGACAGAAGCACGGGAGCTCCAGTCTATCCTGGATGACCTTTCCAGCTCCTGCAGCCTGACTCTGAAGTTAGGACTCCCACCTGATTCCTCTCATATTCCTTGCAGTGACCCCCTGACAACTTAAGGGACCCTGGGTGTGCCTTTTCCTGGTGGCCCTGCACATCCCCCGAGAGGCCACCCTCTCCTTCGTTCCCTGGGTCTTCTCTCCACGTGCCCCCCTGCAGACCAGCCTTTTGGGGGGCATGCACCAGGGCACCCACCTATGGCTCTGCCCAGAAGCAAAGGGGTACAGGCAGACTCGGTGAGAGCCCATCTCACAGGGCAGAGAAGTCAAGGTGCAGGCAGGCGAGGCGGCCTGCCCAAGGCCCCCAGGCGTTCTAGAACCTCTGTCTAGCGCACTCCTCGTGGGACACCCACCCTCCAGAGGAGGCGCATGTACACTGAAATTGGGGTCAGAATAGGTGTGGGGGGACACTGCAAAGAGGAACTGGCCTCAGGTGTCAGCTGTGACACCTGAGCCAGTCCTTTGTCTGCATAAAGGTCAGAGAACAGATGACTTCCCTAGCAACCTGTCCCCAGGTCCCAACAGCCTGGGCAATCTCTGTAACTGTGAGCTCAATCACTTCAGCTTGGGCCCAAAAGGAAGAGGCTACTGTAAGCTCCCTGTCACCTGTCTGGTGCCCAGGAGCCTGCTGCTCACTACCCGACCCCACAACAAGGCCCCCGGCTCAGTGACCATGGGTGGCAGCCCCCTACACAGTTCACACCCCCCGCCCCTGACAGCACCCTGCCAACGGTGCAGGGGCTTCAACAGCCTGGCCCAGTGCAGGCTGGTGTGAGCCCACAGAGGGCCCTTGCGGTCAGGGCCCTCTCCTCCATCCAGAAAGCTCCTCTATTGAATTGGGAAAAACACCCTCCTGGGTTCTTGCCCTCTCTCCTTCCTCCTGTCAATCTGCCAGGTCTCCTGTGGCCTCAGTGACCCACGCCCTCCCATGTCCACTCCACTCCTGCAGGGCCTCTTCCCAGAATTTAAGACTCAGTCTCAGTTCCCACACCTTCCAGAAGTTTCTCTCCTTCCTCCCCACCTCCCATCACTCATCTTATGGGGCCCTTGTGCTTTGTCAGAACACCCAGGCTGGCACAGGCCCTGAGGGTTCTGCTTCCTGGGTGCAATCCCCACATCCCACACGCCCGGGCTCAGCCACACCTATGTGTGCCCTCATAAGGGGGGCACCAGCTGGGCTCTAGGGAGGCTCTCTGGCTACTGGGAGGCTTGGGGTAC